TTTTTTTTTTTTTTTTTTTTTTTTTTTTTTTTTTTTTTTTTTTTTTTTTTTTTTTTTTTTCTTTTTTTTTTTTTTTTGTTATGGTCTTTCTTGTCATGGTTTTTCCTGCTGCGGTCTTTTATTTTTAAATTTTTTTTTTTCTTAAGAAAAAATGGGTTTTGTCATCAAACTGAGGCTCCAAAAGGTTATAGCGAAGAAGGGAGCATGTCAAGTCCATTGGGTTTCACATGGCAACTCTTATAAGCATATTTCCATATACCCAACCATTTCAGCAGCTGGGACATACATTCCACTACTTATTATTTTTAAGGGCAAACGAGTAATCCCAGATCTTTTGAATGGTGCACCTGCTGGTTTTGTTATGGGGTTTACTGAAACAGAATACATACAAGAGAGCCTGTTTCAAAAATACATAGAACATTATGTTAGTTCTATTCTGTCTGCGTGTTCTGTTTTGTTAATTCTAGATGGTCATAAAAGTCACGTCAATTATCCTAATGTCAACTATTGCTATGAGTACAACATACTTCTTTATACGCCCCCCCCCTTATACTACTCACATTTTACAGCCATCCAAATTACCATTTGCTACACTAAAAAAAATGTATGATAATGAATGTGAAAGGTTTCGAATTAATAAAGAGAGTAAGCTTGTGACAAAACATACATTCACTAAGGCATTAGGGCCAGCCTATATTACAACTTATACATCTACTGCCATATGTAATGTCTTCAAGTCTACTGGAATTTGGCCATTCAATCTGAATGCCATTAGTTCAGACCATCTGGATCCTTCATTGACAACAGAATGAAGAGGTTAGTTTGTATTCAAATTCTCATGATAAAAAATCCTGTTACAAAACTTACCAACTATTATAGTAAAACACTACATAGTTTAGATAATTTGTAGGGTTCTGGAGGTTCCAGAGGCTCTGGTACTTTACAAGTTCTTGAACGATCAGCTTCGTCTTCACAATCAGCTTCATCTCCACAATCTTCAGAATTGGATTTAGGTTTTGCACACCTCACCAAACCAGACTCTACAATATTAGAACTTGAGTTGCTAAAAAAAAAGGTTGAAATGTTAGAAGAAGAGCTTGAAACCTTTAAAAGACCTAGTACAAGTTCTTTGAAGTTGATGCTTAAATATCCCTTGCAACATGATTCAGAATCGGCCAAAGATCTGGAAGTTGACAAAGAGCAATCCAAATCAAGGTTGCCAAGAAAAAAAAAAAAGGAAAGCTATGCTCTTCTCTCACCTTCTTACAAATGAAAGGTCCTTACAACAATTGAAGGAGGCAGAGGAAGAGGCTGAAAAAGTAGCTAGTAAAAAGCAATGTAAAAAAGAGATGGCCACTGAAAAACGAATTGCACGTGAGTTGAAAAGGCAAAAAAAGAAGAAGCCTAAAAGCAAAAAAAAGCTGAAATGGAGCATATAAGAATGGAAAAGCAGCGTGTTAAAAATATGAAACTTAAAAAGTAGAAATAGTAAAATTTTAAATTTTTTTTCATTTTTGCTGCAGTGCACCAATTTAGGGTGATCTTTTGATAATCTTGATTTACAGAAAAATTTACATAATCAGATAAAGTTCAACTTTTTTTTCTAAAAAGTTTTTTTTTATAAATAAAAATTTATTTCAAGTTGATATGTGTCGAATTTGATACCGATTTTGAGAAGATTTACTATACATATATTTAACTGCACCAAATTAGGCATACCTACCTTATGAGATAAATAATAAATATGAATAAATAAAACAGCTGTAAAAAAAAAATGTATTGTTACTTTTTTGTTGAATTTTGAGTAGTGAAGGATCAGTTGAATATTGGATATGAAATAAATTCTTATGAAATGGCAGCTTTAACTTATTTTCGATTTGTAATTAAAATTATAATCTATATAATTATGGATTCAATGTAAGTTTGAAGAACAATTTGTATAAGAGACCATGTATAGTGAGCCGATGTTCTTTAGGTTGTAGTTATGGGATTGTATAATAAAGTACTTAAAATTATTTATATGCCGATATAATGAGAATTCAGATGAATAGAGGCAATCAATAATAATGCAATTAAACCCTTTTTTTATTAAAGAGAGATGATTCAAAAAATAACTTTATTACTTTATAGCTTAGTCATTTAAGTTTTTGTTTGTTGAAGTAAAATATTTATAAGGACTTGTGAGGATTGAATAGTAGTATTTATTATGTTTAAGATTAGTGTATATATGTGTCAAATTTGATAAAGCCAAATACATTAAGTTAAAACATTGTTGTTAAGAGACCAGTTTTAAGAATCTTTTCGAAAAAAAGGATAATTCATTTAAAATTTAATTCTGTAAGTTTTAATTAAAAAATTTGATTTGAACATTGGATCTAGATACATATTGATATTAGGTTAAGTACTGTATGTGACCGAAAATAAGCCACGTACGTACGTACCATTTTTGGCCAAAAAGTTAAATAAAAATTTTACGAGTAGCTCATTTTTGAATTATTGAGTTTTTTAGAAAAATTAAAATGTCTTAATGAATATTTGCCAAATTGTATAAAACTTTCAGGATATGTGCAACTTGATGAGCTGAACAAATTCTGTCAAGAACCCGAAACCGGTTTATTTAGTAAAATTTTGAGTTTTATATGTAAAACCGATTTGCGAATTTTTACGTTTTTTGAAAAAATACTGAGGAGTAGCTTATTTTCAGTAGTAGCTTATTTACGGCAACATACGGTAATGTTAAAGAGTGCTTATATAATTTTGTAATTATTAGTTTTATATCATTCATTAATAAAAGATAAATTATTTATGCAAAAGGCTTTAAATTTATACCAAGAGAAACCAAACTTTAGACTTCAAGTATCTATTATTTTGTTATTTGTTAGACCTAACCCTGATCGAAAACATTATAATATGTAATAAATAAATTTAATTATAACCTATAACCAAGCATTGTTAACAATTAGTTATATTTAATTAAATTCAATGACCATGTTATCAAGTGTTTGATATAGTAACGTTTTGACTTATTAAATTATGTAATAAATTATATAACGAAAAATGTATAAAAATTCCTATCCAATAAACCCTATATTATCCGCAAGCCCATAATACCCATACACTCATCCTTAAAACCCCAAGCTTCATAGAACCAGTTCTTGTAAGTATTCTGCAAAGCTTGGTTCCACACTTGTTCTCTCTCAAGTGTAGTCCAACATCTTGAAACAATCTCCCTCTTTGTAGCCAGGCCTGCGGCCGTTGAATTCCGAACGACTCTGACCACTGGCAATCCCTCTTCGTACTCGGAATACACATTCTTAATGGCATTCAACTTCCCAGTGCCCTTTATCTGATGGATCATGATGGTCTCAACAAAGAAATGGAGGTCTAGATTCTCGTCAAAGTCATGGATAGGATTTTGACGGCTGGGTACCCAACTTGTAAAGCCGACATAGTGCACGAAGTACATCTTCTCCCTAGCCACATAACATATCCACTCACCGACCAGCCAGTCCTCATTGCCGCTGACGTATGAGCTAGCCCAGTATGATCCAGCAATGTCTATAACGAGGTCGCGGGAAAGTGTGTATCCGGCACCTTATTTTAAATTTAAGAAAAGCAGATCAAAAAGTGCATGAAGCGTTGATTATAAAAAAGAATAAAAAACATACCTCCCATATATGTATATGTTCCATCTTTATATCCTAGAGCGTTGCCATAGTACACACGTTCTCTCGGCAAATCTTGAAGGTCACGGTAATAGTGAATAAGGTGAATGAAAGTGTCATCGTCCAATTTGACCATATAATTATCTTCCCTCTAAACGTATTCAAATAATGAGTATTTATTGACGTGCACAGCCTCATAAAATGACAAGAATGCTCACATGCTTAGCAAACCAATTGAAATATTCAAACGTTTTTCCTTTGTTCATGTTCTCTGTGATATTCAAAATAACAATATCCCCATACATTTTAGACTCTTCCTCCAGCTTATCTATATAATCATCCATTGGCAATCCTAGGACAAACCTAATCGTCACTGGCGATTTCTTGACACCGAGATACCGCGCCAGAGCATCGTTATTGTGTGCATACAACTTGCGCAAGCACTCCCTAATCTCGATCTTCTCATAAATGGTCAGAATTCCGATAAAGATTGTCAAGTTTTGATCCACACCTGGAGGAGGTTTGGTATAGGTATCGTCTGTGATATGCAATAGTGGGACTGTTGATTCTGAGGGATGAAGATAATATGCAAAGTAGTAAAGTAAGTAGAGGCTAAGGACAAAGACGAAGGAAACGGCACAATATTTATAGGCAATGGCTTTGGGCATTTTAAAATCAGAAGTCTCGAAGATACAATACATGTACAGTCATTTATACTGAATTTTAAATTATTATAAAGCTTGCATTACATGATTCTACTGTACCTAAATCCCAACATCCAAAACCCCGACAGTCTATAAACCTGACATGCATAATCTGAGCAACTCGAAATCCCGATAATCAAGTTTTTGACACAAGTGAAACAATAATCAAAAATCTTTGGTACTATGTAACTTTTCTGAAACATTTTTTCAAATAATGAATGCCTGCGGAAAAAGTTCATTGTCTTATTTGTGTGATAGGTTAAGATCCTGATACGCATAGGTGTTATTGGTTGATAGACTAATAGTTGACTGACTGATTCATCGGTTAAGTCGACTTAGTCGACTAAGCATTAAGGGGCATATTCAGGGTATTGTTACTCGACTGGTTAAGGCATGAATTATTACTGCTTTGCTAATAATTAACTTATGCATATTTCTTACTTTTTCTGTATAAAAAAAAGCAAATTAAATAAAAATCTTAAGAAGACAATAGTCGAACTTTGACCAATAAATTTTTTTTGATTAGGGGTCGACTTAGTTGATTAGGGGTCGGCTAAGTCGACTAGCCCTAACTCTACACGCATAACCTCGACCAGAATACCGAAAAATTAATTGTAATTAAGTTTTATCATATATGTACTGTATATAAAATTACGGGGGTCTCTATCATTTTCCCGAGAGTCCTCCGGGCGGCCATCAATTTTGCAGTGAAGTCGATTATGGCGCAGCTGCAGTAATACGGCGCAGCCATGATCTACATACAGATAACGTTAAAAAATTTTTTTTTCGCTCTTGAATAATACTCAAACCAAGACAA